CCGGATGAATTTATTTACTGGAATACACGGGAGTTCCGTGAAATGAATTCGCCGATGGGGGAAAAAAGTCGGAAATTAGAGGGAATAAAAAGTTTTTCCCTGAAATTCACGGTATATTTTTTAAAATTTTTATAGTACAGTTACACGGAAATGTCAAGGGAATTCGTCATTGAAAATTGAAAGTTTTATGGAAAAATCAATGGGAAGTGTAAATTTCAGTTCAATCATTGCTTGAAATTGATGAAAATCATGAAAATTCAGGTAAATATATTCTTGAATTTCCAATTAAAGGGAGGTTCGCATAAACATTCATAGAAATATTTATTGTCCAGGATTTTTATAGCATAGCCACATGAAAATGTCAAGGAAATTAATTTTGGTTGACCAACGAACTTAAAAATGTATCTTCTCCCTCATGTTTCATAATTAAGGAACGAAAATTTGGGATTACAGCCAACGAACTGTTTAAAAAAATACGTTAGGTTTTTTCAGTGGATTTTTCGATCCAAAAAAATTTGAATCTCTAATTTTTAGGGGTCGGAGACAAATTGAGCCCACAAAATCGGATTCCTGCGGAAAAATTACGCGAAAATACTACATTCAATTTTTACCCTCAAAGAGCGAAAAAATTTGTTTCCCGGCATGCACCGCTCCCCAATTAAGAATCGAGCCCAATTTGCTACTGAATATTCCCGTTTCCCCGCAAATTTACGTATCTCACACACCGAAAAATTCCCCTCCCAACCCGCCTGCCCCCCAAAAATCACCGATCCGAAGGAAGCCCATTTTTTCCACTTCTCCCCTGAAAAAGAAATCACGACATAACCGAGTTCACCGAACCCAACTGTTACCAGATGAATTTATTTACCGGAATCCCCAGAGCTCCGCCGAAACGAATTCCTCGAAACAAAAAACAATGCGAAAACGAAAAAAAAGCAAAAATACGAAACAAGTGAAACCGACGAAAGAAAAACGCTGTTTTCACCGGTAAACACATCGTACACTCGTCGCTTTGGTGTGCAAGCCTCACACTGTAATTCCTCATTCGCCGGAGCAGTGAAAGCCCCATGACGCTTGTATATATGTGAGAAAAATAGAATGAGAGAGCGAGACACGTTGTACGTGTACCCAACGAAAGCCCACTTTTAAACCATCCCCAGTTTTTCCGAGGTTTTCCAACGCGCCTCATCCCCCCGGCCCCCTCCCCCCCTCATCTTTTAACCAACCGCGTCCCACTGCATCTTTCTCTATTTATCCCCTCAACACTTCACTGCGAAACAATAAAAGCTTTCAGGCATTGGGTTGTGTACCCGACTCGTACACAGGCGTGATTTCTTTTTTCTCCTTCATTTTCTCTTTCATTCTGCATTTTTTCATTTTTATTTATCATTTTCCCATTTAAGAGTGGGATAAAACGCTGGGGAGATTTAATTCCATCGAGTTGTCGAGCTTTTCAAGCCCCTCGGGCGCTCAACCAGTTTCATTAGGCCCCGGGGTGCGTCTTATCACATTGAGAGGCTCCTGCATTGATACATTTCCGCGCGTAACGGTTTACATAAAAAAAAAATGTGTGCAGAGAATGCAGCGCGCCGCAGAACAGAGGGCTTTTCCTTTTTTTCCGCCTGACTCTCTCGCCGGGGCCTCGGGTTTCATTCTCATCGCGCGAATAGATAAGTAATTACTAATTAAGCAGCCGGTGAGCGTGGAAAACGAGGAACTACTCGGGTTCCTCTCGTTTATTTATATTTCTTTGGCTTTTTTTTTTCGCGTTGAAAGTCCCGTGAAGGTGGAAGCGTGTGTCATCGACCTCCGACGTTTGTTACGACGCTCTCAAATGTATCATATATCAGGATAATTCAGGGGAGTGGGGAATGTTGCCTGTCACTCTCTTGCAAATAATTACCGGCCCGCAGAGGCCCTTCCACCTC